CCAGTATGGCCGCTCCTCTAGTAGGGCTGGCTATTACCTCGCTCAGGAAGTTATCTTCCATGCCTTCCAGGAGCCTCAGTCTTGCCATCAGCATGATTTAAGTGTAAACATCAATACATATTGTATGCCAGTAATCTGAATTTGTCATTCAGATTATATTTGTATTTATAACACTACTTGCAGAATAAACAAGTATACTTGAGACTATAGAAGGATGCTTTGCCTTCTGCAACTAGCATTATAATTCCAAATATAATTCTACATTTATGAAAAGTATCCTTTGAAAAACTGAGTGGAAATAATGCCTGTACAGAAGACAGAAGCTACTACTGGTGTCAGCACAGATGCCTTTCAATTCTATGGTTTCTTTTACTGGAAATTCCTAATCCTGCGTGAAAACAGGACCAAGACAAATAAAAGGACAGAAACTAGATTTTATATCCTTCTGAGAGGCATAACTTATCCTTTAACATTCTGCTATCAGCATCAGCAATAATAAAATTATTTTGTTACTTTACTTCATAAATCACTAGCGAACATAGCTGTAATTTATCTATATTGATTTAACTGCGGTCTACGTCAATAGAGACTTTGCCATTACTTGTTTTATAGCTTTCCATAGATGCGTAGGTACAAGCTGGTGGCTTTTAATAAATGGTTTCATATCACAAAAAGCACCATCATAACTGGCATTAATTTATAGTTTTCTGATCAATTTCTGCAGAGAAACTAGTGTTTAAGTCACTATTGTGACCCGTGATCGTTTTAGTACCCTCACATAGTGGGGAAGGCTCTTACAGTTTCTGTTCTTTCTTGGTCTCTGGCCTTGTTTCAAAAGAGCAAATTATTTGGATATTTGAGTTGGAGCATTGTAAAAAAGAATTTGTATCAATATAGATATCCTACTTTATAGCACATATATGTCTGATTTGTGATACTTCAGTGACATAAGTAGTACAACAAATGGAATCCACTCTGTCATTCCAGGAAGAGCTGCGCCCCCAGTTTGAAGCTAAATATTCCCAAGTGGAAAGAGTAAATCCCATCACAGGAAAACCTGAACCTTTTCAGCCTTTCCCTGATAAGCTCAGTCGACTGATGGTATCTGTCTCAGGAATATTCTTCATGGTAATGTTTAATAATATTGAAATTATTGTAGCCTTTAATCTTATTCTGATGTAAATAGTAATGCAAGTCATGAGTGCATTTGTTAAGATTGGTGGATTTACATAATATAGGCAAAATTGATTGTCTCAGTCTTACTGCTTGTTTATGTTGCTCTTTTAAAAGATGTACTATAGATACATAGTAAAAGTACAGTAAAGAAATGTTATAATTCATCAGCCTAGCATTTTTATTCTTTCAAAGACCACTCACCAAAACAAATGGCAATCTTTAAAACACTTGCTAATTTATTAATTCAGCAGAAATTATTTCAGATATGGTTCATTTTGTTCTAATATCTCTATTCTTAAATACTTATCTGTAGATTTCACTGGTCCTCACTGCAGTGTTTGCAGTTGTGGTGTATCGTCTGGTAGCCATGGAACAGTTTGCTTCTTTCAAATGGTATTTCATCAAGAAGTATTGGCAGTTTGCAACATCTGGCACTGGAGTCTGTATCAATTTTATGATCATCATGTCACTCAATGTTGTAAGTCTTTTGTTCTTTTAAAGGAGGGATTAATTTAAAAGAGTAACTTTTACAAGGTTACTGAGTTTACTGTATATAAGATATATACATGTTCTTGCTTATTGATATTGCAGTGCCTGCAGCTAGTATTTCAGGGGTTTTTCCTCTTCTAATACTGTTTGTCAATGTTTTTTTCTAATGCCTACTTCATTTGTCACTACATATCTTTGCTTATGTCATCAAGTCACAGTGGTACAGACTACTGCTTTCTACATTTGCATTTTTGGTTTTTACATTACCTTTTACAGTACATCTCTAAATGGAACTACATTATTTTCTTCGCTAAGAATTTTCTTTCTGTTTTTTTAAGTTGGTATCTTTGAATTATTCCCTTTCTTATTTAAAATGCAATCGTGATATCAGCGTTGCACAGTCCTAGAATCACTGTGATACACGATTTCAATTTAAGCTTTTCCTGTCATGTAACAGCATGGGTTTAATAATTTCCTGTGGTAGCACAATACATATTGATATAAACTCTATTCCTTCAACTGCAATATAATTTTTCATTTTTCTATTCCCGTACAAGCACAAACAGGTAAAAAGGAATAACAGCACAGCAAACAATAGCTTTTAATTCCATTAAGGAGATTGTGCACTTGCTATAATAAGAAAGCATTCTTCAAAACAAACTGTCATGTATTTATTTCTGTTACTATATATGATAATTCTAAGTTATAAAAAGTACTTTCAAGTGAACAAGCACATCAAAGCTTTTGAAAATAACTTGCTGTTAATAGTAAATACTCGAGGAAATATTTGTCACAATTGGTAACTACATTGGACTCAGTGTCATTTAAAATAAAGGCTGGAGATAGTCAATATATAGACAAATAAGGAAGTTTTCTGTAGGAGGCCGATATCCTCACCAGTATGCACATTCATGCAAAGGAAAATTGTATTGTGTAGCGGCTTTTATCTACTTTTAGATCACACAAGTTTGTTCCTGAAGTTAGAGGATAAGCATCTAACTGTTCATTAAGAGAACTGTTGATGTCTGAACACTTCTCCTGATCTATCAGCTCTTGATTTATCTTTGTTGTCTATTTAATGTATATACTTACATACATACATTTACATGGATAGAGAGAATGGGACTAAAGTAGTTCAATGAAGTCTTTATGGGAAACTATACATCCACATGTAGCTATGACATCGCCCTCCCTTCTCTGTCCAGATACCTTGATGCTGTAGGGCAACAGAACACCTATACTTTTGATGCTTGTTTTCATTCTGGATTTGACATCACAACAGACAGGATGTACTACACTTACACCATCTATTATTTCTGTTTTAGGTATATGAAAAGGTTGCCTATCTCCTGACAGACTTAGGTATGTAGATCTTCACTGATGGTATGGTTCTTTCTAGCTGTGGCATACACCTTTATATTTCCATAAAATAGGGTATTGAAAACTTCATATATGCATAGCACAATTCTGGCATTTCCCTAAGCAAGTAAGAAATATCAGAGAAAGAAATTATATGATTATTTCACTAAGGAAATAATAGAAAAGACAGGAATTTTTTATGTTTTATAGTATAAATTGAAAAAACTGGTATCTTATAATGGAACAAAATTGAAACATAGTCTTTCTTAGAATGCTAACACAGATTTTTTTTTTTCCATTTTCCCAAATGCTTTGTTGTTTTCCTTACAATTTTTTAATATGAACTTTAATATGCAAAAAATTGCTTCATATAAAATTACATTGTCCCACACAAAAATGTTCAGTCATAAATTTTAAAGTAGCTCTGATTCTGTCACATTAAAAATTTATACTGAAGCCTCTAGTTGTGATTCAGTCATAGAGGTAAAACTTTCTAGCTTATAGAAAACAAGAAAGCAAAGACAGCATTTAAGATCTCCTACTATGTGAATATGTTACCTTTTAGTATTTCTTCTCACATGCTTTCTTTTAGACCATGTCAAAATGTGCAGTTGATCTTGTCATAGTTTAAAGGCAAGGTCGCTGCTTAGATTTAACAGCTCCCTCTTCTGGTCAAAGTATTGAAGAGCATGCATTAAACAAGATGCTCAAAACAGCATTTCAGATAACAGGCAGTTGAACAGCTTAGAAAGATTCAGAATGTGTAGTCAACTTGTTCAAATTATTAAAATAGTTTAAAATATATTTTCAGATCACGCTGATTTGTATTCATATTTAACTTTTAAAATGTATTATATTGTTACAGACCAGGAAATGGGAAAGAAAATAATTATTTCATTTAAGTATACAAGCTGATTTTCCCCAAAATATATGAAATAATTTAAAAGAACCCCAAAGACACAGACTTCTTGGATTAAGCATGATGGAGCATCAAGTGTTTGAGCTAGATAGCTCACTCCATTTTCTAACGTGTTTTACGTCAAAGAGAAGGAGGGCATCTTAACATCCGGGAACAAGTGTCCATATGTAAAGTCCTATACATTTGTATCCTAATTTAGTCATGATTAGACCAAAGTGATTAAGTAGTACAAATTTCAACTGAAAAATCCAGGCAATTTAGACTTCCAACTCATGTATGTGCTTTAAAACTTTTATCAATGTACTATATTCCACGTTTGATATATCCATAAAAGAAATTTGAATTTTTTACAAAAAAAAAAATTAATTTTAATTGTTATCACCAAATTATAATTCAAACATAAATAATATTCTACAAATCGTAAGAAAAAACATCCAAGGCAATGCAGACCCACACAGAATACTTGTAGCCCTACTACACATCTATATTTCTTTCAAGAAAAAAAAACAAACTAAGAAGGACCTCCATCCTTTCCTTGTTGAATTATAAGCTGTTTAACAGTTCATAAGCATTATCATAGGGAATTCTTGAGGATGAAGTATTTAGAAGGCGAGATGCTTGGATGAGAAACCAACTGGCTGTTGGTTGTCTCTTTTCCCTCTGCTTTCCTTGGCAACCCATGTCTATACCTTTGCTGATGGCAAGTGCTTTTGCTTTCTGTTTGGGATTTTTTTTTGTTGTGTGGGTGTGTTTTTTTTTTTTAAACAAGGTACCTGTAGCCTTAAAGATTCACACTGAATTCAGAACTTTTTCATGGAAATGGAACAGATGTCTTCCCGCAGAGTTGTGACTTCTTCTGTACTGAGGGGCACGTATCTTCTGTTTCCACATAGAACCAACATAGGCTGAGCTGGGGCAATGGTTTTGTGACCTGCACACTGAACACTTTGAGAAAAAAAAAAAAATAAATCAATTGCAACCTGATGGGACACCATGACATGAAACCATGGCTTGTTTTGTTAATGTTGATTGATTTATAAGCAAATTTAGGAATAGCTCAATCTTATTTTTGTTTATATAATGTATATTGTGTCTTTCTGCAGAGCACCCTAGAACAGAATCTGAATGGGAAAACAGCTTTGCCTTGAAAATGTTCCTCTTCCAGTTTGTCAACTTGAACAGCTCCATCTTTTACATTGCCTTTTTTCTTGGCAGGTAAGTTACCTTTACTAACTGCACTTAAAAGAAAACTTGCATAGAACTCATAATTCTTGCTAATTTTATAGGTTTGAAGAAAATACAGTGACAGTTTGAATGGTAAGATTTATATGCAAGTCAGTTTCTGAAGACAATTAATAAAACTAAATTAATATTTTTAACAGCATGTGAGGGTTGGACCCTTGAAGTCTTTACTCATGAAACTAGACAGTAAAAAGTCTACTCTTTAAGCGATTCTATGTATGTGACCTTCCTACTAAATGAGAATTCAGAGCCTTTGAATATACAGCTACTTCCTAAATATGAGTCTCCATTTAGCCCTGCGCTAATAGGCTTTATTCATTTTTTCTTGTTTATTGCCCTTTGATTACATTTCCCAGGATCTATTTCTATAAATAGTAAATATTGCCTGGCAGGTCTTATGCAAGAGTAGGAGGCAGAAATTTTGGCTTCAATTTTTGTGTGTATCTTTAGCCCAGAGCATGAGATACTGGACATGTCTAACCTTGCTTCATCTTCACTTCAATTTCGTTATGATCAGACTTCTCATTCCTGCAGAACCTATAGAGTATTTCAGAGTACCTTCTATAAAGTTTTATAATATAATTTCAGTTCAAGATCGTTTGGGAAAAAAAAACAATCTCTAGTAGGCACTGTTGGTAACATTTGCTTGTTACATCCAGTGGTGCATTTGCCATATAGTCTCTAAACTTTGTTGTATCTTGCTATCTCCTGTGTCTAGTAGGACCAGGCATGGGGTTTTTTCCTCTCTCATTTATAACTTTCTCTGAGGTCATTAAGAATTTTGATTCAGTTCATTATGCAAGAATCTGTTAGATCTGTAAAAAACATTTAGTTATGATGGGTTTGGAAGTGATTTTATGCTTGTGTGTCTGAGGGTCCAATCCAATGCACACTTCACATGGACAAGCAGATCCTTGAGCTGCAGTAAATTCTTATGTATTGCAATGGCTTATTTTAGAATTAGATTAGAGAGTCTGAATATCTAACATCTAAAACCTCTGAAGCTATGATTTTTGTTCTGGACATAATAAAATCTTAGGATCACTTGCAAAATTATGGTCCTTTTTTGCATTCTGAAACTTCCATATCCTACAGATACCAGATTTAAACCTGTGTGATTTAATCTGTTTATATTTCATGAGTTTGCTCAGTGGATGTTGTGAAATAACTACTGATACAGAGTGTTCTTGGAATGTCCACTGAGAAATAGAAATCTTATTTTCCAGATTTGCAGGCCGCCCAGGAAAGTACAACAAGCTCTTTAACAGATGGAGACTAGAAGAGGTAAGCAATCCTATTTTGTGTTCCTGTGAAATTTCCATGAGTAAAACGGAAATGGCTGAAGGACCAGAATTATGTCCAGTTTGAAAGATTTATTATTCCATCTAAGTGCAGTGAAGAGTAGAGTCTTATTTATAGCAAAGGATGGGAAATAGGAGATGTGTTTTTCCTTCTGCGTTCTCCACTGTGCTGAGCCACTCTGCGCAAGACACGTAATTATTTCTGCCTCTCTCTTTGGGAAAAGCAAACAGTGATAGTCCCTTACCTTACAGACACTACGAAGTCCTACATGATTGGAATCTCATGGGTATGTGGAATTTTTGGAGGGAGGACATAAATGCAATGCCATCAGCTTTTTTATCAGCTTCTTAAGTTTCTGCCAGCACAGGAGAGACATGGACATATTGGAGCAGGTCCAGAGGAGAGCCACAAAAATTATCAGAGGGGTGAAACACCTCTCCTACGCAGACAGGGTGAGAGAGATGGGGTTGAAAGACACCAGGGGGACCTTTTAGCAGCCTTTCAATACTTAAAAAGGGCTTATAAGACCGAAGCAGACAAACTTTTTAGCAGAAACTGTTGCAGTAGGACAAGAGTTAATGGGTTTAAACTATAAGAGGGCAGATTTAGACTAAATATAAGGAAGAAATTTTTTACGATGAGGGTGGTGAAACACTGGAACAGGTTGCCCAGAGAGGTGGTAGATGCCCCACCCCTGGAAACATTCAAGGTCAGGTTGGACAGGGCTCTGAGCAACCTGATCTAGTTGAAGATGTCCCTGCACATCTCATGGGGTTTAGACTAGATGATCTTTGGAGCTTCCTTCCAACCCAAACTATTCTATGATTATATGATTTAAAAGAAGAAAAATAGTATTTCCAAAATTTGGCTTGAAAATGTGTTAGAATTCCACCTCTCTGGATATCACTAGCATGCTGAAGTATGTCTGAAAAACAGGTTTCTTCTAGTAGTAGCCACAGAGTAAAATACCGTAATTCTGTAGTCCATGGTGTAAAAAAAAAGTTTCTGTAATTACTAAACATTTTAATATGGTGATTTATATAGTTAAGATACCGGTACCAAAGATTCAGATACTAAGTCTGTATTTGGACTTAGGACATTACAAATGAAATACCGCTCCATTCTTTTCAAATGAATGTGTATGTATTGGTCTAAGTGAAATGGACTATATCATTTATCATGCATCTAGCACATATACCCTTAGCTTAGGTAATACGATCTAGTTCTCCAAGAAATAATATGTCTAAAGGTTGTTCAACTAAAGTCTGTGCTAATATTTCTGTTATTAATATTTCTTTTAATATTTCTGTAGCTGGAGGTTAGTGTTTTTCACCAAACATGTTTGAATATTTTTCATTTACCCTCTGAACAAATAAAAATGAAATGAATTCTCTGATTTTAGCTATTATCTTTTTCCATTTCATTTCAGTGTCATCCTAGTGGCTGCTTGATAGATCTGTGCTTGCAAATGGGAGTTATTATGGTTTTAAAACAAATGTGGAACAACTTCATGGAACTAGGCTATCCGTAAGTTCAGATGTTAAAATTTGTTTTACAAATAGTGATTACATATTAGTGTGATTCATGATAGGGAAAAATATTTTTATGTTCAGAGAATGTTTTCACTTTTTGCATCTCACATACTGTAACTGTATTCCCAAGGGAAGCATTAAATGCTGCTCTAAGATAAAGCTTCTCGGCATATGTTAACCATCTAAATTGTTTGTTTTGATTTCATTTTCTGTAATACAAACAGAGCTGTTCAGCTACTGAAGAGAGTAATGGGCTAAGAGTCTTACAGTTCTCTTGGAACTGGAAGAATATGTTTTCAGTAAAAGGTTGCTTATCAAATATTAATTTAATCAAAGTCTCAACCTTGAAAATACATCAGAAAGGGTTATGCTCACAATGTGCAATCATTCTGCAAATGAGGGGCAGTGTACTGTATTGTTGCAAGATGTGGATTTCTGAAAAGAAGAAACCTACTTGAAGTATCAGGCTTCTTGTCTTCTCAGCCCAGCAGCACCTTAACTGTGTCTAGAATTTCTTTTAGAGCATGCTTACATTCCTTTATGGAAAGCAGTGTTTTGTTTTGACAAAAACATTGTTTGCAACTGAGACATCAGCTGCTCTTTCAGTAACAAGAGAGATCAAGAGCTAAACACTAAATTAGCTTGAGAAAAAATAGTAGCCTGTTAATAAAAATGCTTGTAAGAAAATTATTTCCCATCTTCAGTTTCTTTTCAGTAATATCTAGAAACAAACAGTAGTCTTTAACTGTCACCTGTGTCAACACTGGATATTTTTCATTTGTATAACACTTTAATTTGTGAGACTATTAGGTACTTAATATACCTGTTTGTGAAAAAACTTCTGCACGGCTTTATAAAAAATAGTCTTAAATATTTGCAGCTTCAGCAACACCTTTTTAGACACTTTTTCCTGCTTCAAGAAAAAATATTCTGTAGAGCATCTAGATCTTTAGGTTCGTTCAAAAATAGTAGACGTATTCTACTATTCAATATATTACAGTATCATAGAGTTCTTACTGAGCTCCACTTACTTGGTTTGTTTTTTACAGGATTAAAAATAAAGCACTATTTACTTTTTCAATGCTCTCACTATGTGTGATTTTTTTTTTCCACTGTTCTTTTTTTATTTACACATGCAAGTAAATCCTACAAAAAAAGTCTATGCAAGCAAATTCCATATTCTGAAAAGCTTATTTGTACAATGCTTAACATGCTAACTAATTAAAATCATAATGCAGAATTTTGAGAACTTTTGGAAGTTCTTTGAATTGTATCTTACATGATATTGTAAATATTTCCAGAAAATACCTAAGTAAGCATTCAAGTGCTATTCAAAATAGGCCCACTTACTTCAAAACAATATCTGCAAATATTGTAAATTACTGAGCAAGTACAGTCAATAATGCTCTGTTTGTCTAATAAAGTTTATTACAGAATTGGTGGTCACGACGCAAAATGAAGAGAGGAGGGCAATTAATGGAGCATAAGATCTCTCTACCTCAGTGGGAAAAAGATTGGAATCTGCAACCTATGAATCTCCATGGTTTAATGGATGAATATTTAGAGATGGGTGAGCAAATTTAGGGAGGCGTCAGTTTTCTTAAGAAACTGGAACTATGTTGCACATTAAAAGGTCTTTTTCATTTCCAATTTCTAACCATAGAAATACGTGTCTAGTTTTACAGTTTGGCTTTACCACCATCTTCGTTGCTGCCTTCCCACTGGCACCTCTCCTGGCATTGCTTAACAATATCATAGAAATAAGGTTAGATGCATACAAGTTTGTCACTCAGTGGCGAAGACCTATGCCTGCAAGAGCGACAGATATAGGTGAGAAAACCTAATGACTGTCACTGTCAGGTACCATCTCTTTGTGTTTCCTTCTTTAATGCAGCTTAACCCTTGATGTTTCAAGAGTGAAATTGATAATGTAACCTACAGATCTCAATGACAGCTCTCGTGTTAAGCAACAAAAGGATACTCAGTTGCTTAGCTAAGATGACTCCTCAGATTCACTTTCCATATCCAATAAGGGATCATAATAGTTGGAATTTTGAAAACAGGCTAAGTAGTATTTTAGGCTTCTGATTTGTGGAACTTTAGGTCTAAAATGCTACCCAAAATCAATTGAATTTCAAAATTAAATATAAGGAATAAATTCACTTTTCATTTAAAATAGAATTAAATAAAAATAAGAAGTCTCTTTCCAAAATCTTCTATTTGGCCTTTATAACCAACGATTGTGGTTATACCTTTGTTGCTTAGCTGTTTCTTGTCAGCAAGGTGTGCCCTGCTGTAAGACTTCATTCAGGTGGAGCCAGTAGTGGCAGGAATGTGGGGGCATGGCTTTTCTGACTAGCTTTTCTGACTGAATTATTCTTTCTCAATAAGAAAGGAAAACTGGGTGACTCATTGTGACTTTAATATCACTAGTATGACTTGATATGACTTAATATGACTGTAAAAAACTGATGACTTCATTGTCATTTCTCTTGTTTCTAGGCATCTGGTATGGGATTCTGGAAGGAATTGGAGTTCTGGCTGTCATCACCAATGCCTTTGTTATTGCCATTACTTCCGATTACATTCCACGTTTTGTCTATGCATACAAATATGGTCCCTGTACAGATCAAGGCTACAGACAAGAAAAGTATTTAAGATATTCTTTATATATACATGTATATTTCAGTGGAAGATCACTTTTGCTGCTGTCTGTCTGTGTTAACGTACTTAACATATATCAGTAACATTTTACCTGTTACATCTGTGCAAACCTTCACGGATGTTAGGTGCAAGTAACTCAGCCATTCCAGAGAGTTTGCAAACTAACTCCACAGTTATAAAGCAGAAATTCATGTCTTCCCTTCTGAATGCAAACAATAAAGTTCAATATACATCATAGCAGTTGTCAGGCTTTCTGGAGATAAGCTTTTCTTCTTTTCTGCAGTAGTTCTGGACTGTCTTCTCCCACTGCATTCCCACCCCTGTATATATGCTCCCCAACCCTCTTTTATCCTAAGCCTTGTTCACCCCTAAACTTCCCTGCCTGTTTCTCTTCAAAAATGCTTGCAGCCAAGCTCCAGCAAGATTGGCCTTGACTTGACACTATTTAGCCTACCTCCATACATAGTATATCTTAGCTTCAAGGAAAGCTATCTTGCCTATCTTTGCACCACCAGACCAATTTCCTGTACTTCTCTCCAGACACTTACCAGTGTCTCTGAACTGTGGGTCCACGGTGCTCTGTTTGTATTTCCCACTGTCTATCATGACCTTTTACATGATCTAAACAGATCGGAGTACTCATAGGCATCCTCTCTTTCATTTGGAGACCAGTGCCCTACAGGTGTTTTTGGGGGGTGGTTTTGGAGGTTTGGGTTTTTTTCTTTTTGATATGGGAATCAGAGTTACCTCAAGAAAAGGAAGCATGACTTTACTAATACTGTAGCACATGACTTAACTTCTTTATTGCACAGGAGGAAGGTTAAACGTGAAAGCATCAAGGCTTGTCCAGCAAGCCAGTATCGCTGCATTCACAGACTGTGCCACAGCTCAAACCACAGGGTTCTGTCCTTCCTTCCCTCATTGCTCCATCTCTAATGATTTAAAATAGAGATTTACTCTTCCTGTACTGTCATAGGGAGCGAGAATTTAAAGGCAAAAAGAATGAGGCAGGATAGGATGAAAAAAGGCAACAGCAGAAAACATTAGTGCTGAATGTGCACTACTCATTTAATAGTGAACTATGTATTTCTATTTCTTCTTTTGCTAGTAGTGATTTGAGGTGTCACAGCAAACCTGAAGGTTCAGGAGTTATAATAGGATTCCTGATACATATCTTTTTAAATGTTCTTTGCCTTTCAGAAGGCCCTTTGTTAAATTACAGGACAGATTTCCAAGAAGATGGTCTTACATGTCCGTGGTTTTCCAGGAACAGACAAAAATTTCACTCCTACAGTCATAATTCAATGTATTTATGTGATTTCTGTCATTAATACTAGTAAATTGTTACCTTTAAGATGGCCATTTGGTATATACGCGTTGTTCATTTTACTGTTGGTGAAAATTCTTCCTTTGATTCAATTCATAAAACCTGTAATTTTGGGGTATATGCTGCATGATTGGTGGCAGATTCTGCAAGAATATTAAATTGTTATCCTCTCTGCATCTGTAGCCGTCTTTCTAAGTTCAGTAATTTTAGGAGATAGTGAAGAACACTGTAGCCACAATTTTTGGTAGATAAGAAGCAAAATCATTAAAAGTGCTGAAAATAGATTTTAATAGATCTCTGAAACAGATGTTATTTGTTTCTTTCCAATAAAACTTTGCTTTTCTGCTTAAAATTTTAGAATTGCTTCTGTCCTGATAATCAAATAAAATAATATGCTCGCAATATGTGATAGCAGAATGTGTTTACATACAGGATCTATGCTGTATAACCACTTTATGAGGAAAGTCCTGACCCTCTGTCTTTTCCTTTCAGATGCTTAAAAGGATATGTCAACAGCAGTTTATCAGTATTTGATTTGAGTGAACTTGGGATGGGATACTCAGGATACTGCCGGTATGTTTTGATGTTCTCCCTCCTTGTAATACAGACATAGACATTAATACAGACATTAAACTGAAAGTCAGTGCTTAAATTACTGGCAGAATAGCGGAGGTTTTGCCTGTAAAAGCACTGGAGTTCAAGTTTGTTCAACATAGAAGTCTCAGGTGCAAATGGTGTGTGGTAGGACACAATACTAACACACTGGAAACCTGTGTCCTGAGTTTTTCCAGGACTCTTGCAAGCTGTATCTTTTGTGCTTCTATGAATTATTTCATTTCAAAGTTTGCCCAGCTACCAAGAAAGGTAAAAGTTCTCATTCCAATTTTTTTAGGCATTTTGAGGTCTATTAATTAAAATACACAATGAAAATTTTTGTTGTGACTCTAACCCGGGTCAAGATCCCAAACAGTTATGCAAGATGAATACAAGAAATTCAGCATAAAAGTTAAATATGACATTGCAAAAATTCTTTCCAGTTTCAGATTTAGTTTTACAATGAGACTTAGCTTGAACTGACTGTGAAGTTACAGAATCTTGTTACGTTTATGTAGACTTTGTCTGGAGAATCTCAAATGCTTATAAGCAAAGACAAGAACCGATTTAGAATCAACACACTTGAACTTCATACTCCAAGGTGTCAACTTTGTAACAACAAAAGAAATTGCTCTGGATTTTTGGAAGCAAAAAGTGCTGTCTTATAAGCAACCCTATTTAATTGCCTGTATTGTGGACTATTCTTCCCCTTTTCTGTTTAATTTCTCTTGAAGTATGCTTTCACTTCAGTTTCTCTCCTTTTAGTCAGATCTGGGATAAATCAGAGAGCTCTTCAGTGTGTTCAGGTTTTTGAGCACAGGCTGACTTACTGAGTTTTTCTTTGCTTTACAGGTACAGAGATTACAGAGCCCCACCATGGAGTTCAACTCCATATGAATTCACTTTGCAGTTCTGGCATGTCCTGGCAGCGCGACTGGCCTTCATCATAGTATTTGAGGTTAGTCAGGGAAAGGAACAATTCCTTTCTACCTCTTTAAAGTCCGAGTTGATTTTTTTATAGTAGTCCCATAAATAAATTGTCAGTGTCACCAACTGCTTGTTCATTACAGTCAAGAGAGAGGAGGAAAAAAAAAAACACCCTCCCCAAACTGTTGTCAGTCAGCTGCTTCAAACTGAATTGACAGAGCATGCACAGATTCTAGGGTCCCTCCAAAATTGTATTTCCTTAACAGTCATCTTATACGTTATGTTGGTTCCCAACCAAATCTTGCATGTTTTGTTGAAAAAGAAGAAATGCAACATATGTGTACATTAAGCCCAGCTATTACAAGTTAAAATCTGTGGCAGGAAAATGCTACATGATTCTAGGCTAATATAAAAGTAGAAATGTGTGTACTAACTTTGAAGAACATTTTACATACTATCCAGAAATCTGATTACTTTGATTACAAGCTCTTAACAAAGACTGCTTGTAGGTGGTGGTTGCTATTGTTATTCAAACTAGTGTATCCTGCAGTCACATCTTCATTTAGGTCACTGGCTATACCCTTAGTTTTACTTTTCAGAAGACTTTAGCATTTTCACGTTTCTGACTCATTTAGTCCCATATGTGTGTGTGTGTATATATTAAAAAAAACAAAAGAAGTTGCTTTTCAGTCATGAATTGAAGCCCAATTTTGCCACAGACTGTTAGGCCCTAAAATGTGGTCCTAGAAATGAATATTTATGTGTCTTAGAAGCAATTATTTTTGTTCTTCTTTTCAGCACCTTGTTTTTGGAATAAAGTCTTTCATTGCATACCTGATTCCAGACATGCCCAAAGACTTGTGTGACAGAATGAGGAGAGAGAAATACCTGGTCCAGGAAATGATGTATGAGGCTGAACTGGAGCATTTGCAGAGAGAAAGGAAAAAGAATGGGAAACAGTATCACCATGAATGGCCTTAGTCACTACCATGCTGCAACAAAAACACTGTTTGGAAATTGAAGAGTGCAGTTACAAAATGAAGTTGGAATCTGGCATCAGTGTGTGAGATTTGTGATGTATATATGTTCTTGCTGGGCAGTACACTTGCAGGCTTTGGTGGGAACTGGAAAATAGATGCTTCCGATGAAGAAAATGAAAAGCCTTACCTGTAGCTGGTCTGTGGTGAGCACCAAGGAGAACTGTCACTCAGGAATGTGCAGACAGATTAAAAATTTGGACACTCTGGTTTAAAAAAGGGCAATGAATTTTCATGCTGTTCATGAAGATACTAACAGCATAATGAAAATAAAAAATTACCTGTGAACTTATACAGTAAGGGCATGACTAAAACCAATTTACATGATATCCACTACTTCTACAGCTTCTGATTGCTCAGCTCCATCTGTAATGCCTCTGAAGAAAAGAGCAATTGTTGCCCTCGTGGCCACAACTTGATATAAATGGTCTTTCAGGCTTACTGTTTTGTCAGGTTTGTCCTAGTCTCTTGTTGAGATTGTGGATGTAGTCCTACCCTAAAAAGGGGGTATATGGCTGCTTAATATATACTATGCAGTTTGAGATTTGCACATCAGTGTCATTAATTTATCCTTCTAGTTGAAAACCAAAAATTCTAAATTCAAAGAGAAAACAGCAGCACTAAGAGAACGCATCGCATTGCCCACATTGCAGCTATATTTGAAAATGACATGGCTGTTGAGTTGTCTTTCCACTTTTCTGTGCAGAAAGGCCACCTCCACATGCTTCCAGAATGAAAGAACTGTCATTTTCATGCTCTGATGTAGCATGCAGATGTCTAACTGTGTTACTGTTCCTTTTGACCTATCTGGGCAATGATTCCATGACTTCACAGAATGCTAACTTGAAATATTCTCATACAGTGCAAATGACTTCGTCCTCAATATACAATTAACTCTTTATAGTATGCAAGCTTATGCAGATATGTATCAAACATACAGTATAACGTTGTGACTTGCTTGTTCAGGGAAAAAAAAACAGAGCACTTTATAACAATGCTCTCCTTATTGTAATAGTAAATGTTCCAGTAATGTGCACTTCTTTTATTGGCCTAAATAAGTCAAAGCATGGGAGTTAGCTACAGGCAGATATGTATACAGATTGTATATAAATGCACACACACACAGTGGTAACTTTTAGATTTTTTTATTATTATTTCTATGCCTTCTTACAGTTTGGGGGGCTTTTTGGATAAAATCACTATAAAAAGTAGATGTTTGTGTAAAGAACTACATTTCAGTTTTTATGTGCATACAGAATACAGCAGTGTTGCTTATGGTTGTACTCATATTTTGTTGATGAAATTGTCTGTTACTAACATTTCATAATATGGGAACAGATAAGCACTGAACTGTGCAGGGTTCACTTGCAGAGAAGGGAGTGGAGAAACGGTTACAATCATTCTGTTTCTGTTGTACAATTTTAAATAATAATTCTCTATACTGGATGAGAAAAATTTAAAAAATGAAGAGTCAACAAAGCACAGTAACTATAAAGGCTGCAAATTTTAACATTATTTTTAGGGATAAAGCTGCAGTAAAATCATTGCTGACAGATACTAAAAGACCTGAATTTTTACTGCTTACAATACCTTATTGAACCAAAAAGTGTGATTCCAATATTCACTTGCATGGATTAGCACAATTGTTTTATTTTATTACGCCGTATGAAATTAAGAGTCAAGAGCCCGTCAGACTGGATGAGTAGGATCTGTTGTATCCAGAGGGCCTACTATCAGACCTTAAGTTCTTTAGTTATTTCACCATATTAATGAGATTTCTTGGTTAATTCCAGCTCTCTGTGACCAGACAAGGCAACTATAGGAGTATCTGCAGTATTGCACAAAGGAGGAAAGAAATTGGAAGGTATGGTCTAATTAGATATATTACCCATTAGTTCTGAGATAAAGGGCTGGTAGAACTCAGCTTCCCATATTTTGGAAAGGCTGTTTTGTTCTTTCATATTCTGGGTTGTGCACTAAGTTCCTCAGGAGTCCTTATCAGACATAATTCATGCACTCTCCTCAGTGCTTATAGAATCGCACCATTTGATTTAATTTATTGTCTCTTTATTTTGTTCTGTGGCTTATCAAGCACCGTTTGACAGCATTAACCATGTGTCACAGCTTCTGTTTCTGTGCCATGTAGTGATAGTACTTCAGTTCTTCAGAAGGTCACAGATGAGCTCTCTTTTTAATGTTTTCTCTAAAACCAAAATGCCTTGGCTGGCCTAAGGTATAAAGATACAGGATAAAATTAGGGAAAAACCAGAATTATTGATTGATTTTATACTTTCCTGTTTCTGCTGTGGATATTAGCACGTGTCAATAAATACTTAGGCAAATTCCAATTGGACTTAAAAACACATAGGAAAGGAAACCTTTTTGTATTTGACGTATAAATATATATATTATTAATGATTTTCAACACTGGTGTATATGAGTATATCAAAGGCAAGTATGTAGATCTGACGTTGTGCATTTTATGCACTGGAAAAGCACAAGAAGTTTTGGAGGAACACTGTGTGTGTTCCTTTATTTCTGGAGGACATCAATGATGTCTAAAGGTTTTGCAACTATCTAACCATTTGCTTAGGCTGAGAAAACTTTTTGCTAGACTTTGTTTAGTATGCTGTTTGCATTGACTGCACGTTATTTTACTGAAGTACAAGGCACACGGTGTCCTCAGGAATAATGTATTTTATGAATGGTAAATGATCTTTTCATATTATAAATATTGTCTTTCCAAACGAATGACCAGTATGAATAGACTGTGCATGCAAGCTGCATTTGTGAAATCTGACAATGCTTTAGAACTTCAATTTGTGCAAAAATGCTTTAGATCATTGCAGATCTAATCTATGACAACTTTGCTCTATGCATGCGCCCTTAGAGAGACTGCATGAGCAACTAGATATTTTTAAATACAAAAGATTAGTCCAAAATGTCTTAATTATTCCTAACCAAAATCTGTGTCTTGATTCAGACAAAAGAAATTTCCATTTCAAAACCAGCAAGAAGTCCACATATGTTATACACATCTCATTTCTAATGACTTTTCATTCTAAATTTGTGCCTAATGTGTGAGATCTTAATTCTGGTGACTAAAAAAGGAAAAAAGAGTTCTACTGCATTAGCCATCCTAATGAGAGGTTCCTTCTTAGAGCTCAAAGTCTGCCTCCAGATAGAGGGATGCGTTAAGAGCTCAGTATTCACAACTGAGCGCTAACAGGGTTGCCTGAAGATTGAGCACAGGCTCCCTGTCACACTGTAATTCAGTTTCCTCGCCAGAAAGACAGCGTAGTGATCAGGCATTTGGAAATACAGCAAACCACATGATGACTATTTTTTTTATACTTTTTTCCCCTATCCCTTTTTGTTAAAGGATTTATAAAGAAAATTTAGATCAACATTGAAGTGTTAATATTGATGATGACAGGGCTAAAATTGACGACCGATAAGTGGGGTTTTGTTAGATGTTTCTTTGGAAGTACATATTTTCACTACTACAGAACACACATCAGCTGTTGCTATGCCCTTTTCCAACAGCAACTTGTCTTAAATTGTGTTCTGAGGATCAGTTAGGCTCAATTGTTGGCCTTTGGAAAGCTCAAGAGAAAAATATCTGAGGGCCTAGTGAAAATAGGTTAATGGGTACATACCTTAATGCATAAATTCACAAATCTCCTGAGGTTTCCTTCATAAAAAGTTCTGCAGAAGGAAAGATATCTTGGGAAACACAGCTTTAGGATGAGTGTTAATATGGAGAAAGGCAGGAACTTTGGTGAAATTTTATTATTAATGCACCATTAAGATGATCAGTCTAATGTAAGTAGTGCACATCTGCTGTTTCCTTGCTGCGACTTCTTCCACTGCAGACTCCAAAAGGGTAGTGCTGCCAGAGAGAATTTCTGGAGCTGTGGGATCCAGTGGTGTTACCTGCAAAGTTCTACATGGCATCACGGGAGTTATTAATCTTTTGCATTATGTCACAGTTCGTTCAAGGGCAAATTAGTACGTATATATTTAGAAGCATCATATAATTTTGATTAACTGAAAATCGTCTGTGACCATAAAATGAAAAGAAATGGTTTGTACATAGTTAACTTGCAAGTGTCACAAATTTTCATTAAAACTATTATAAACTAGATTTTTTACATACACTGGGCAATGGTCATATCAATAAAACTCATTTTATACAAACAGCTAAATATGATGGCAACAAAATTAATGTAAAATCAAATAATCACATTTTCTATTAAGTGTTGCATAGGAGAAAAGGGACAGGAATAAAAATAGTGATATCAACAATCACTTACAATGTAGTAGTACTTCCAGAAGCATTTTATTTCTTGTAATCCTCATAAACTACTGATGCGGCTTATTTGAGGGTAAAGGTTGAAACAAATATACAGTCAGCCTTTCATAATAATATTTGTTTGGTGTTAAGGCTGACACTAGAATTCAAACAGAATTCCACATTTAGAAAGACTTGTTATTTTGTTAGTTCCAGTGCATACTTTGTGTGACTAAAATGCATGCAGTGACACTTTTCTGAAAGTGTCAAGCCTAAATTCCTGTGGTGGAAAATTTAGCAGCTTGTAAAGATCCCTAAGTCTTTTCATATTCAACCTCATGTTTTTAAAGCCCATGTTCTACTGGGGTAAAATGTAACAAGCCAGCATGTGGAGGCTGAGGATGAGCAGAGAAAGCAAAGGGCTGCTCTTCACTTCAGCAAGTCTTTCTCCAGAACTCCGACACATTCTGCAAAACAAGGGTTTGAAGATGGGGAATGGTGACAACCCTCCTGATCCTTTCCTTTTTCTCCTCTGGCTCACTCCTTACTTATTCTCAGTGTTTTATTAAATGATGCCTTCTTACTGACAGTTCAATTGCCAGGGTAATTCTGTAACTGCAGAATTTTTTTGCAGGGTCTTTTTGGATGTC